ATATAGTAATTCTATGTTTAATTTTTTGAAGAATTATCTGCTTTTTCCACAGCAGCTGCATTATTTTAAATTCCTACTAGCAATACCCAAAGTTTCCAGTTTCTTTAGTCTCACCTTCCTTTCTTATTTTTACTTTTTTAGTAGCCATCCAACTGGATGTGAAATTGCATCTCATTGTGGTTTTGATTTGCATTTCCCTGATGATTAGTCATGTTGAGAATATTTTCACTTGTTTATTAGCCATTTGTTTATCTTCTCTGGAGAAATGTCTGTACAAGTTCTCTGCTCATTTTTTGAATTGGACTATTTGTTTTGTAATTGTTGAGTTGTAGGAGTTCTTTTATGTACAAAATATTAATCCCATATATGATTTCTAAATGTTATTCTATGGGCTGTCATTTCACTCTGTTGATTGTGCCCTTTAATGTACAAAAGTTTTTAATTCTGATGAAGTCCAATTTATCTATTTTTTTCTTTTGTTGCTTGTGCTTTTGGTGTTGTATACAAGAAATCCTCACCAAATCCAATGTCATGAAGATATTTCATTGTTTTTTCTAAGAGTTTTATATTTTTTATACTTACATTAAAAATATTTGATCAGTTTTGAGTTAATTTTTGTATCTAGTGTAAGGTAAGGATTCAACTTCATTCTTTTGCATGTGGCTATCCAGTTTTCACAGCATAATTTGTTGAAAAAAAATTGTCATTTCCCGATTGAATGGTCTTGGCACCCTGGTCAAAAAAATAGTTGACCATACATGCAAGGGTTTATTTCTGGGCTCTCTATTCTATGTTATTTTTCTGTTTGTACTTATGACAGTGGCACATGGTGTTGATTACCATATCTTTGTATTAATTTTCAAAGTAGTGTCAGTCCTTCAACTTTGTGTTCTTTTCTTTTTTTTTTTGAGTCTTTTTGGAGCAGTGGATATTGACCATGCCTGCACATTGTAGTTACCTGGAGAACTTTAATAGAAAACTGATGTCTAAACCCCTACATCAGACCAAATAAATAGGAATTGCTTGAATGAGGTGTGTTGTTTTTTTAACTGATATGTAATGATTGTGCATATTTATGGGATACATGTGATGATTTAATACATGGATAAAATGTGCAATGGTAAAATCAGGGTAATTGTGATGTCTATCACGTCATACATTTGTAGTCACCCTATTGTGGTCTCCAGCACCAGAACTTATTCCTTCTATCTAACTGTGTTTCTGTACCCATTAACCAGCCTTTCTTCATCCCCCCTACTCTTTCCAGCCTTTGGTAACCACTGTTATACACTCAACTTCCACAAGATCACTTTGTTTAGCTCCCACATATGACAGAGTACATGTAATATTTCTTTCTGTGCCTTGAATATTTACGTAACGCAATGTCCTCCAGGCTCATCCATGTTGCTTCAAATAATAGAATTTCATTCTTTTTTATGGCTGAATATTTCATTGGGTATATATACAACATTTTAGCTCCCACATATGACAGAGTACATGTAATATTTCTTTCTGTGCCTTGAATATTTACGTAATGTAATGTCCTCCAGGCTCATCCATGTTGCTTCAAATAATAGAATTTCATTCTTTTTTATGGCTGAATATTTCATTGGGTATATATACAACATTTTCTTCACCCATTCATCTGTTGATGGACACATGTTGAATCCATATCTTAGCTACTGTGAATAATGCTACAATAAACATGGGGTAAAGATGCCTCTTTGATATGCCAATTTCCTTTCTTTTGGATAAAGACCCGGTAGTAGAATTGCTTGATTATATGGTATTTCTACTTTTAGTTTTTTGAGGAATCTCCATACTGTTTTCCATATGGCTGTACTAATTTACATGCCCACCAATAGTTTATAAGTGTTCTCTTTTCTCTGCATCCTCACAGGCATTTGTTATTTTTGTCTTTCTGATAATAGCCATCCCAACTGCAGCCAGATGTTATCTCATCGTGGTTTTGATTTTCATTCCTGATGATTAGTGATATACAGCATTTTTGACATAGCTGTTGGCCATTTGTACGTCTGCTTTTGAGAAATGTCTATTCAGATCATTTGCCTGTTTTTTACTTGAATCGTATGATTTTTTGTTGTTGAATTGCTTAAGTTTTTTGTATATCCTGTTTTTTAATCCCTTGTCAAATGGATAGTAAATATTTTCTCCAATTCTGTAGGTTGTCTTTTCACTCTGTAGATTATTTCCTTTGTTGTGTGGAAGTATTTTAGTTTGATATAATCCCATTTGTCTATTTTTGCTTTTGTTGTCTGTGCTTTTGAGATCTTTACCCAAAATTGCTTGCCCAGACTAATGCCCTGTAACATTTTCCCAATGTTTTCTTTTAGTAGTTGTAAAGTTTCAGGTCTTACATTTAGATCTTTAATCTATTTGGAGTTGATTCTTGTGTGATGAGAGATAGAGGTCTAGTTTCATTCTACTGCATATGGATATTCAGTTATCTCAGCATCATTTATTACAGAAACTGTTCTTTCTCCACTGCATGTTCTTGATGCCTTTGTCAAAAACGAGTTGGCTGTTAATGCATAGATTTAATTCTGGGTTCTCTATTATTTTTTTTGGTCTATGTTTTTATGCCAGTACCATGCTGTTTTGGTTACTAAAGCTTTGTAATATATTTCAAAGTTAGGCAGTGTGGTTCCTCCAGCTTTGTTCTTTTTGCTCAGGATTGCTTTGAAGTCTCTTGTGGTTCTGTGTGAATGTTAGGACTGTTTCTCCTGTTTGTCATTGGTATTTGTGCTCTTCTTTTTCAAGATTATTTTGGCTATTCAGAGTCCCTTGAGATTCTGTATGAATTTTATGATTTTTAAAAATTTCTGTAAAATAAATGTCATTGAGATTTAATAAGGATTGCATTGAATCTGCAGATTAATTTGAGTAGTATGAGCATCTTAACATTGAGTTATCCAATCCATGAACATGAAATGTTTTTTTATTTATTTATGCCTTTTTAGAATTTCTTCTAGCACTGTTTTGTAGTTTTCAGTGTACAAGTCCTTCACCTCCTTGCCAAATGCATTTCTATTAATATATAAATGAAATATTTTCTTAATTTCCTTTTTGGATTGTTCATTGATAGTGTGTAAAAATGCAGCTAGTTCTTGTGCATTGAATTTGTATTGTGCAACTTTGCTGAATTCATTCATTAATTCTAATAGTTTTTTGTGTGTGGAATCTGCAGTATTTTCTACATATATTACTATGTTATCTGCTAACAAGATAATTTTAATTTTTCCTTTCCAATTTGGATGCATTTTATTTATCTTTCTTTATAATTTCTCTGGCTAGAATTTCCAATACCATTAAATTTCCAATACCATACAAGTGGCAAAAGTGAGCATCTTGTCTGGTTTCTGATTTTAGAGGTAAAGCTTTCAGTCATTCACTATTAAATACAATGTTAACAATGAAATTTTTATATACATTGAGAAATTTTCCTTCTATTCCTAGCTTATCAAGATTTCTTTTTTTTAATCTTGAAAAAAAAATTGAATTCTGCCAAATGCTTTTATTCCATCATTTGAGCTAATTTCCCCCTTTTATTCTGGTAATGTAGTGTGTTACATTTATTGATTTTCATATGTTGAATCAAACTTGCCTTCTTCAGATAAATCTCACCTGGTCATCATGTATAATCCTTTTAACACGATGTTGGGTTTGGTTTTCTGGTATTTTGTTGAAAATATTTGCACTCTTATTTATAAGGGATATTGGTCTACAGTTTTCTTTTCTTTTGATGTCTTTGTGTACTTGTGGTACCAGGGTAATGCTGGCCTCATAACTTAAAAAGTGTTTCCTCCTCCTCTATTTTTTGGAAGAATTTGGGAAAGATTGGTGTTAATTTTTCTTGAAATATTTGGTAGAATATTTAGCATTGAAGCCGGACTTCTCTTTGTTGGAGAGTTTTGATTACTGACTTAATCTTTTATAGATCTGTGTACATTTTTTATTTCTTCTTGAATCAATTTATTTATTTCTTCTTTTGATAGTTCGTATCTATCTAGGACTTTGTCTATTTTATCTAGGTTATATAATTTGTTGACATTCAATTGTTTGTAGTGTTGACTTATAAACATTATTTATGTATTTATTTATTTCTGTAAGGTGCATAGAAATGTCCCCACTATCACATCTGGTTTGGGGAACTTGAGTTTTTGCTCATTTTTTTCTAGTCTAGCTAAAGGTTTCTCAGTTTTGTTGATCTTTCCAAAGAACCACCTTTTGTTTTTATTGATTATGTTATTATTCTATTTTCTATTTTATTTATCTCTACTTTAATCATTTTTTTTTTCCTGCTAGTTTTGGTTTTAGTTTGCTCTTCTTTTCTAGTTCCTTAATATGTAAAGTTAGGTTATTGATTTTAGACCTTATTTATTTACTTATTTTGGAGGAGAGTAATTAAGGTTAAATGAGGTCATAAGGATCATGTCCTAATCTCACAGGACTGGTGTTCTTATAAGATGAAGAAGAAACACTAGAGATCTCTGTCCACATGGGCACAGAGGAAAAGCCATGTGAGAACACGCAAGGAGGCGGCCATCGGCAAGCAAAGACGAAAAGCCTCACCAGAAATCAACCCTTGTGACAACTTGATCTTGGACCTCTAGGCTCCAGATTGTAAAACTATAAATACACTTCTGTTGTTTAAGCCTCTCTGTCTGTGGTATTTTGTTATGACAGCCCTAGCGGTATAATAAATCATTGTTCCATAACTTGCTTAGGTTTTATCTGTCTTCTCTTTTTTAATGTAGCCATCTATAACTACAGATTTCACTATGTACACTATTTTCACTGCATGTCATAAATTTTGGTATGCTGTGATTTTTTTCTTGTTTCTATCAAAGTATTTTGCCATTTACCTTGTGATTTCTTCTTTGAGCCACGGTTGTTTAGGAGTAAGTTGTTTAAATTCCACATATTTGTAAGTATGCCACTTTTCCTTCTGTTATTTATTTCTAGTTTAATTTCATTGTGGTTGGAGAAGATAATTTGTATTATTTCAACCTTTTAAAAATATATCAAGACATATTTTGTGGCCAACATAGTTTCTCCTAAAGAATATATTATGCACACTTGAGAGAATGTGTACTCTACTGTTGATTGGGGTATTCTGTATTTGTGTTAGATCCAAATGTTTTATAGTGTTGCTCAAATTCTCTATCGCCTTACTGATCTTTTGTGTGGTTGTTCTGTGCATTATTAAAGTAATGATACTAATGTCTCCAACTATACATTAAAACTGCCTATTTTGCACTTCAATTCTGTCAGTTTTGATTCATGTATACAGGCCTCTGTTGTTAGGTGCATGCATGCTTATAACTGCTATAGGATCTTGATTAATTAACCCTTTCATCAATATGTAATATCTTCCTTTGTGTCTTATAACAAATTTTAACTTAAAGTCCATTTTGTCTGATATTAGCATAGCCACCTTAGATTTCTTCTAGCTACTATTTGCACTGAGGATCTTTTTCCATTCTACCACTTTCAAACTACCTGTGTTATTGACCTAAAAATGAGTCTCCTGTAGACAGCATATAGTTGGACCATGTTTTCTTTTTATCCATTCTGCCAATTATGCCTTTAATTGGAAAATTTATTTCATTTCATTTACATTTAAGGAAATTACTAGTAAGACCTTACTTCTGTCATTTAGATATTTGTTTTCTATATGTCCTATACGGTTTTGGTTCTTCATTTCCTTCATCTTGCCTTCTTTTGTGCGTGACTGATTTTTTTGTAGTGTATCATTTTGATTCCCTTCTCATCCCTCTCTCTCTTTAGGTTTTAGTTATTATCTTAGTTGCTATCCTGGGGATTACAATTAACCTTTCCTAATGATCTAGCTTGAATTACTACCAATTTAGCTTCAATATTATATAAAGGTGGCTTCTATACAGCATTATATGTCACCCTTTATATTGTTATTGTCACAAATGGCATCATTATACATTGTGTCCATTAACATAGATATATAATTGATATTTTATGCATTTTTAATCATATAAAAAAGAAAAGTTACAAATCAAAAATAAATATGGCTTTTATATTTACCTACACAGTTGTCTTTGCTGGGGTTCTTTATTTCTTCATATGGCTTCATAGTTCTTCCTAGTGTTCTTTAAGTTCAGCCTGAAGGAGTTCCTTTAGAATTTTTTATCAGGCAGGTCTCTTAGTGATCATGCCTCTCAGCTTTTGTTTATCTGGAAAATCTTCATTTCTCCTTTTTTTTTTTCTTTCTAATAACAGCACTTGGTGATGTTGGAAATATCTGTAGGCAGTACATGATACTAAAGACATTGTTTCTAGGGAGTGTTCAAGTTTTTAAATGAGATTTATAGTAAAAATGCCACATTTGTACATATATTTTTATAAAGGCAGAATTCCTGATTAACAGGTTTTTTTGTTCTATCAGCACTTCAAATATGTCATCCCATGGCTTCTGATGAGAAATTAGTCATTAATCATATTGAGGATTAGGGTTAGGGTTAGGGTTAGGGTTAGGGTTCTCTTACTATATACAAATTCTCTCTGTCATAGATTTTCAGTTTGATTATAGTATGTCTAGGTGCAAATCTCTTTATTTTTAATCTACTTTTATTTTGTTGACCTTCTTGGATAAGTGGAATCATGTTCTTCATCAAATTTGGTAAGGTTTTTGGCCATTAGTTCTTCCGATATCTTTTCTGCCCTTTTACTTCCGTCTTCTTCTCCTCCTTCTAGGACTCCCATGATGAGTTTATTGGTTCACTTGATGGTGTCCCACATGTCTTTAGACTCTGTTCACTTTTCTTTACTCTTTTTCTTTTTGATCTCAGACTGGATAATTTCAGTTGATCTATCTTCAAGTTTCATGATGCTTTGGCCTGCTCATATATGCTGTTGAAACCCTGTAGTGAATATTTTATCTCAGTGATTATACATTTGGGCTCCAGAATTTCTAATCAATTTATTTTTATAATTTTTACCTATTTATTGATATTCTTTATTTATTCATGGATCATTCTATTCTTGCCCTTTACTTATTTGTCCATGATTTCCTTTAGCTCTTTGAGCATATTTAGGACTTCATTTAAAGTCATTATGTAGTAAGTCCAATGTCTGATCTTCCTCCAGGACAGTTTCTGTTTCATTTTGTTTTTCCATCAACTGACCATATTTTCTTGTTCTTTGTTTGTTTTTTTGTTTGGGGAAGTTGTTTGTTTTACATTATATGTATATATAAAAAACTAAACATTTTGAATATTAAAGTATGGCCACAAGGGAAATCAAATTTTTCTTCACAGGTTTTGTTGTTGTTGTTTCCTGTGGTTTGTAGTTGCTTGTCTGTTTGGTAATTTTTCTAAACTATTTTTCAGAGACTATATACTTTGTCATTCGTGTTTCTTTGCAGTGTCTGTTTCTTTCACTTGTAATTAGCTAGTAGTTTTACATAGACTTCCTTAAATGCTGGGGGGCAAAATAAAAGAAAAAAACTCACCTGGTATTTGCAGATTGTCTCTGCATTGGGGGTACTCCCTCAGTGCTTAGCCAATTTGTTTACAACCCTGTCTTAGCCTTCACTTTCTGCTTTTGCTGAGGCTAAAGTTCATCTAGGGTTAAAAGCTTAGAATCTTCTCAGGTCTTTTATGAACACATATTCTGTCCTGTATGCCCCACCCCTGCCCTGGCATAGCAGCAGTCTTAAAGTATGTACATCGCTTTCTAGGCTTCTCACTATATGTGGAAGCTTTTCAAAGTCCTTATTTCCCAAAATAATTTTTGCCCTGCCTATTCCTCCCAGGCTATTGGTGTGTCTATTGTTTGTGCCAGTTACAATCTTTTGTGCAAATCATTAGTGATGTGTTTATTTGCCTTTCAATGATTCTGAGGAACACCTCTGTTTATCCACTTTTCTACCTTAAAAGAGTTCTGAGATAGGTGACACACAGTCATCACCTTGTTGGTCTTTCAGGAAATCCCCAGGCAGATCAAAGAGACAAACACAATTTCTTGGAAACAAGGTCCAATTTGCTCTCTTTTGAACAAGATACTGATACCAGGGACATGGACCATCTGCAAGGCTGCTGCTGTATCAGGGCTGAAGTGGGGCAAGGAAAAATTAAAATGCCACATGGCTGTACTACTGTGTTTAACTCACAGTTTCTCTATCCAGCATAAGCTTATTTGCTTCGAATATTTATTTGACTTTTTCATTGTTCCAACAAAGTTGATGCTAACAGGTTTTGCTTTTTTTTTTTTCAGTGTTTCTGTGGAGGGGTGGACTCTTGAAACTTCCTACTCTTTCACTTTTGCCAATGTCACTCTCCCCTTAACTTTTTCTTAAATAAACCTAGTTAAAAGACAGTGCTGGGCCGGCCCGGTGGCGCACTGCTACAGTGCACCGCTTGGGAGTGTGGTGGCGCTCCCG